GTTGTGGTTGCTAGTGTTGCCAGGAGTAACCAATCTACATGGTCTACCTGAGCACGTCTTTGCACTGTGGGAAGAAGCCGGAGCACCCGGAGAGAACCCAGTTCTCCATATAGTTAAAATAAACAATTCAGAATTTTTGCGTACGACCCACCGGTACTACCACTGCGACCCATTAGAGGGTCGCCCCACAGTTTGAGAAACACTGCATTTGACTAGTGAAGTTTGCGTTGGCATGTAGTTTTCACGTCGGTCTCAAACAGCGAGTGATATTCTTGTTCATTCGGCTCCTCGATGCCACATGTTCGTATAAATAAGATGGCGCCGACTTTGAACGGCCACTGTAATTATGACATCACCTGATTATGTATTATGAGCGGAGGTGGGAGTCATCTTATGTGATATAAACAGTGTTGTCCACGATGAGAGTAGGTCTGAATGTATGAGTCAAAGAGGAAATTCACCAATGAGACTTCCATGTCTGATGAGAAAGCAACATTTACGGGTGACTTATTCCCAAATTTTTAAAACAAGCCTTAAAGAGAAGGAGGGCCTTTTTCTGCATACAAACAGACTGCTGGTGTGAAGGCAAATGAACAAACCACAGGGTTCTTCGACAGCAGACGTTAATGATGATTTTAAAAGTGACCATTAATGAATCCCTCCGTTGACAGGAAATCTTTTCATGAAGCATCCTAACCAACATTCCTTGACCCTGTGACATTTTGCACAGTGGAGAAGGAAAAGTAGTTAGAAATAGACATTAGGAGGTATTTTATTAGACTATTCGAATCCAGCCCTAATCACGACGCCTCCCAATGGAGGTTTTCGTGCCCCACCCAACTGGCAGGAGCCTTTTGCTCTATAAATGCCAACTAAGGAACATGCATTTACACATCGTAAGCATGCTGCATAACCCTCTCAGTCACTGGAATGGGATTTCCAAACGCGGGTCCTGATGATGCAGGATGCAAATAGTCAGTCTGTAGAACTTAGTGGTGCAGATAAACACCAAAACAACATTCTTCTAAGTAATTCATTTTCTCCCTTGGTCCAGATCAGATGAACTAAATGTCTACATCTCAAGGCAGATTTTGTTATGTGTCGCTTCACAGAAGCATTTCTTTGATAACTATTGCCTCTCGCCACATGTGACCATTTCTGGGTCATTTTTAAGGGTATTTCAATTTCATGCTAGGTTTGCATCACACTACGGTCATGATGAGATATTTACTGCAGCAAGTAGTGACTCATTTCCTCTGCCATCATAGCTTAAGATCACTGGCTTAATGTGTCATATTAAGTCCATGACCTGAGTTTAACCTCCTGTCACTGTTTGTGTTTGTAGATCCAATGACTGGATAAAGTCATTTAACTATTTGGTCCTTTTAAATGTGTTTTCATTGGCCGTGCATGTCTATCATGGAGGGTCAAGGCCATTCCCGTCACAGTTAGAGCTTTAATACGTTCACTGCAGCACAGGGTGGTCTAGTTTATATTTCAGTTTAAATGCAATGTCTTTTCATGTGACGTTAAATTAGTCGCTGCAACTCAATGGGGCTTTTTCGATGCACAATAATTGCGGAGCACATTCTACAAGGAGTCAATTTGAGATTTGCATGAAGAATGGCAGCATGTCATGGTGGAAGGGGTTTTGCAATAAAGAGACAAGCGATGGAAATTGAGATACTTGTGAGCGGTTGCAGCTTTGGCTCAGAAAGCACTTATATGATAGGAATAAAGTAGAAATGGGAAAATAATGGAGGTTTATTCCAACAGTGTCATTGAAAACTTTTCCTTTACCGTCACAGCCCCAGAAACGTACTCGTGTGAACGTTTTGTCAAGTAGAAATTTAGAAAAGGATACGTTGTACTGGACAAGTTTAAGCTCTCTGCAAAAGAGTAATTGTTCTCTGTAAAAGATTTAAGGTCCAACACGTTTTCGTTTGTTCTTTTTAACGACAGCAGCAACATCTCAGCTGCAGACGAATGCCTTTTACAGCAGATGATAAATGTCGTGACTCTAAATTGATATTGGACATTCATTAAGTCAAAATGACATTAATTGGATTTGCTCGGTGACGGATTCACACTTATAAGTAAATGTACTGCCTAATTATTTATATGCGCATTTATTAAGACGAGCCCAGTCAGCTGCTCCTGAAACCAAGCAGAATTAATGCCGCTTTGTGTGATGATTCTACAGATGATGGCGTGCAGAAACTGCATGCAAGGCTGATATCCCTTGCATGCAGTTTTGTCGCCCCGATGAACCTCGACTAGGTTGATATGTTGACTCAATTGCTGTATGTCCATGAGCGAACAGCTCCAGAAGCAAACGCAGCCTTGGCACAATGACGAGAGTAACCTTTGTTGTTTATTTACATCCTGTTGCATGCCGAGTCACCATCCTGCCGCAAAATCAAACTTCACAGTTCCCTGGTGCTGCACTGCTACGTGCGACAATAATGTCATGGAGATACAGAAAAGGGGTCCGACTACTTTGGATTACAGCTTTCAAGCTTGCCTTGTGATACCACCAAGGATTTTAATTGACACAATGATTCAAAACTGGACACTGGAAAATAAAAGCTATACAGCAGCAATATACAATTTAACATGATGAAATGTTTGAGAGACAACAAACCATTTCCACTTCCTCTTCTCTCACTGCGACAATGTTTCCCTGAACGTAGCAGTCACTGTGTAACCATTGGAGAGCGTGACTCGTGACGATCAGGCGAGTAGCAGAAGGGGTTGTTACTCAGCTTTGGCTGAATTAGTGGTGGTGGTGGGATGCTGCTTTGTGCAAGGAGGAACAGGTTGACCAGTTTGGTGGGTCAGTGATGGTCTGGGGAGGCATAATCTTGGAGGGACGCACAGACCTCTACAGGCGAGAGACGGCAGTCTGACAGCCATTAGGTATCAGGATGAAATCCTTGATTTCAGAGCCCACGCTGGGGCAGTAGGTCCTCGGTTCCTCCTGACGCACGGACCTCTACAGGCGAGAGACGGCAGTCTGACTGCCATTAGGTATCAGGATGAAATCCCTGATTTCAGAGCCCACGCTGGGGCAGTAGGTCCTGGGTTCCTCTTGACACACAGACCTCTACAGGCGAGAGACGGCAGTCTGACTGCCATTAGGTATCAGGATGAAATCCCTGATTTCAGAGCCCACGCTGGGGCAGTAGGTCCTCGGTTCCTCTTGACACACAGACCTCTACAGGCGAGAGACGGCAGTCTGACTGCCATTAGGTATCAGGATGAAATCCTTGATTTCAGAGCCCACGCTGGGGCAGTAGGTCCTCGGTTCCTCCTGACGCACGGCAATGCCTCATGAGGCAAAGGTATGCAGGCGGTACCTGGAGGATGAAGGAATTGATCAATTAACGGCCCTCACAATCACCTTGATCTAAACCTGATAGAACACCTCTAGGACATTATGCCAGGTGTCACTCTGCAGGAGCCCTCTGATGCCTTCAGACAGATCTGGGACATCCCACAAGACACCATCCGTCGTCTCCTGCATGCCGCGACGTTGTCAAGCATGCAAACAAGCACGTGGAGGCCACACAAAATAATCAATCAGAATTTTCACTTTTCATATATTTTCTTACTTTGATTTTCGGGATTTCTCTAAAATTCTGTAGGCTGAAACTTTTATTTCTATCAAAAGATGTGACGTCCTTTTTGTCAGTATAAATATTCAACAAAATTTTTTTCTCATTGAGATCTGATGTGTTTTCAAAATGTTTCTTAGATGTTTTGAGCATTGTATAGACACCCCGACTATATAACTGCGGTAAAGTTTGTAAAAAATGAGGCTGAAACTGATGACTTGACCAGTCCAGCCTCCTGGAAGACTCCAGGACAATTAATCCTGCCCGTCTCCTCTGCAGAGTCCATCTGTAGAGACGTAAGAGTCATGCATACATGCAGACAGAGAACGCTAGAGCTCCAATTTCTGCTCATTAATCACCCGTCCGCCAAACCAGCCTGATCTCCAAAACCTGTTCATAAAAATGTATACGAAAATCTTGAACCTACAAATTCGTAGTGATACATACCTATTCAAAGTGAATGGGGACCTGCACCTTTCTTATACATTTTTACGAACAGGTTTTGGAGATCACGTTGGCCAAACGTCCTCAAGAGAAAACAGCCCGCCTTCTCCGGGGTGATTACAGCACTTGAAGTAAAGCTTTCGGCTGCAAACGCTCATAAGTAGCCATTTCATTTCTCTCTCACCCCGCCTGGTTTGTCATCTCGACCACAGCGCTCGCTGTATCCTCCGGAGAAACCTCCTCTTCCTCTCAAGTCCTTTCTACTGCACCGCTGTCACTCATTTTTAGCTCTAATTTTTTCGCTGGCACGGAACCACTTGGCATTCAATGTGAGATAAAGAAATTATAGGCTCATAGATCAATGCCCAGTCCATGATGTAGGCTTAGTACTTGCGACTGTGCCAGAATGACGCAGCCGGGACTCATGCAGCCACACTTCAGGTCCTGCAGCTACGCTGTTTGTGCCTTGATTTTCTTTCTTTTTCCAAATATCCTCCAGTTCTTCGGACATTTTATTATTTATTGTACATTTCCATGGATAAAATAGCTTTTACTGCGTTTTGATGCAAAATTTGTCCCAGGGAGCAGTTAGTACACACACACACAAGGTTCTGGTCCACACTGCTTTTTCCCTGTGATTCACTGCAGTATGAAGAGCATCTAATTTCTCAACAGAGAAACTCAAAGAAACTAAAAATAATCCTAAAACCACGGCTAGAGCAACATCTTTGTGCATTTACTTTTAATGGCAATGTGTAAACTGCATGTCGTGTACGCATGACATATTTATAACCGTCAGCGAGTAGATGAAGTCTTTTTTTATGTTGTTGTGATCTTGTAGCTGCTTTTAGGGAGACCGACAAGAGACTTGCACAACATACATACTAGAGTGTGTCCTCAGCGCGGCTGGCTGCTAATGATCTCTTCCTGTGCTTCCAGATGGAGATGATTCCAGAACCTGATCCCGATGACGAAGGCACAAAGATAAGTGTAAGTTCAGTTGCACTCGACACGCCCGCGGTTGCGCCATATTATAGAACGAGAAGTCGGACTGCGTTTCATTCGGAGCAAACACAACAGCAGCTGATTTCCCCCGAATAATACACCTTCGACCAGAGAAAGGCGCCAATCAGTGAAATCCGCTATGACGCATTATTGCTGTCAGAGCGGTTTCCTTCCTGCCTCACCAAATGCTCTGCCCCTTTCTTCGGGTCACTCTGTATGCACGTTGTGTTCCAGGACCAACGCACCCCTCCCATCGCTGCCCTAACTCCAGTAATCACAGTCAGAGGTTTGTGCCATGTAAACGGGCACGTCTGGCTTATCACATATTTTGTATATATCTTATCTATACATTCACTATAAACCTACATGTATTCTCCTCAACAATAAAGGCATCAACCAATCATGATGTACATGAACTGATTTACAGTTTCATTTCATCATCACTGTTACATTTCATAAAATCCCCCAATATAATAGCAGGGAAGTGTTTTGCATTGGCATGTATTCTAATTCTCAATCAGGCAAGCCTCTGTTGTGCACATCACAATTTAAATGTACATTTTTTGCACAACATTTAAGTATTTTTTTAATAATGTAAAATAATAGGGTATACATTTATATTTTTCTCATCTGTATGATTTTAAACTGTGTAGATAAATTCCTGTATCTGAAATACTAAAGGGGACATATTATGATGGATCTTCTACACATTAATGTTTACCAACCCCTAAACAATGGACATCATGTAATTACTTAATACTAATAAAAACAGCTCTTTGGAAGTTCCGGGGTGGGCCGATGTCTTCAGACTGAGGGGGAGTTTCCCTCACGTTCTCGACCCTAACCCTGGATTGGTCTGGTTTTGGGAGGCGGGGCTTAAAGAGACAGGCGCTAAAACAGATCGTCAGACAGAAGGTGACTACAGGCAAATATTCACGCATGGTGTGGTGGAAAATACCCCCTACAAATAACCAAATACAAGTCTTAAATGAGCATCACATGTCTCCTTTAAGTTGGTGCAATAGAGGGAAATACAATCTGTGCTGTGCAGTGATTTGAACTGGACGAGTTTCAGTATTTGATCTACTGAACAACATAACGTGTCCATAACCTTGAAAATAACATTTTTTTCATTTGGTTTGTCAGCTTTTCAATAAAACTCCATTTCCTACAGAATTACATTCCCCTGTAACCAAACTCTGTTCAAAGGTATGTTTCAAAGTAAACATATTTCCTTGGTTGTTACACAAAAACAACTCTATAAATTAAAGAGATTTTTGGTTTCATACAGCACAAATATGGATTTCCTGGGTTAAAGTCCTGTGCTTGTCGGAGCAGCTCACACAGCCTGCCCTCCTCCTTACATGGAATTCCAAGAACAATACGTCATTGTGAACATCAAAAGCAGTGGTTATGTGTCTTGAGCTGCTCTCAGAGTCAAATGTTGGCTCAACTCTTACCGGCCATAACAAGTGGGTTTGGAGCCCTGCAGGTCCACAGTAGGATGCAAGATATAATTAGTATATGTCAATGTAACACAGAGAAGAACCGGACAACTAGCTAAAGAGTTTTAACCTGTAATTCTCTGTGACACTTGTATTTATTTATATGCACAAGCAAACCTGATTGATGATTTCTGAGACCTTGCAGTGTTGATTCGCTGTTATGATTCTTTGGTCACTTTTAATCACTCCAACAGACAGTGAAAGTCCAAGGCAACAACATCTCACACAAGCTGCAGATATCCAGAGTCAGCAAGGTTGACGAAGGACTGTACGAGTGCCGGGTGACACGAGCTAACTACGGAGAGATTGTGGAGTACAAAACCCAAGCCTGGCTGAGGGTCAACGTCACCGCCAGGCCACGGCGGCCACTGGTGCCCCCAAAGAAAAGCTCCCCGCTGCACCTGACGGACAAGAAGCCACGAAAGCCCAGCTCACCTCATGGCCAGGACAGCATGAGCTCAGACCAGAGGGTGGCCTCCACCTCCACCTCTCACACGTCCTCCGACACAGCTAAACACAGCCCCGGCTCAGGTACGGCCCTGTGGGCAATGAGGGTGCAGTGGAACTCAGCGAATGCTCATGTAGTCGGTTTTTAACCACCTCATGTGGTCTGGACAGCAACTGTCACAAAGGCAAAGTAGTTTTGTCCTCTCTTGCTTGAGATAGCGTCACAGTGAACTATGTCTTAATAGCATAATACACAAGTTCATGACAAACATCACAGGTCATGGGGAATGTGACCGTCCGTCTGTCCAATCAGAAGGGTCCGTCCTCTACTATAAGGCCCTACCCTTTCCCTAAGAAGTTAATGTCGTTGTGCCACCGTATCTATGGTGTAAGGATCCTCAGGTTTGATGTGAATATAGTTGTGTCATCAGACGGTCATCTTCTATATCTCTTATTCTTAGCAGGTCGGGGGGGGTAGAGTCAATCCCAGCCAGCATCGGAGAGAGAGAGACAGACAGGGTACACCCTGGACTGGTGACCAGTCGATCGTAGACACACAACCATCCACTCTCGCGTCCATACACATACGGGCGATTTAGAGTCCCCAATCAACCTGATCCCTAGAGCATGTCTTTGGACTGTGGGAGGAAGCCGGAGTACCCGGAGAGAACCCACGCAGACACGGGGAGAACATGCAGACTCCACACAGAAGAGTATTCCCATAAAATGTGAATGTAATGAAAAGGGAATTAGCAGAAGGGGTTACATGTCAACCTGCAATTCCTTGCTCTCCATCTTGTAGTAGCAGAAGGAAGAGGGATTGTTTGTGTTGTAAGATACCATCATTGCTGAGAAGGATCCATCGGCCGATGGCTTAGTGTTTGGGGAGGGTTGTGCTTAAATCAGGACCGGTGGTTTGATTCCCGGTGCCGCTGTTAATATGTCCTTGGGCTTCACCCCGAATAGCTGCTCCTCCAGTGAACAAATATTGAATTACTGTTAGTTAGAGCACTGACGAGCAGGTGGCCCCTTGCATGCTAGTCCATGCCATCAGTAAATGAATTAATTGGTTTGAAGACTGCAAATGTGCATTTACCGTGTGTGTCCTTAGCATCTCAGAAGCTGTTTCCCTTCATTCAATCCCAAGTTCCAGACAAGCGGCCTAGAAGCGTCCCTCATGTTGTGTATATAGATACATCCCGACTGTCAGGAAACGGATTTGTGATTGCAGGTCCCGATTCTTTGTGACCTTTTCACTTCACCGACGACTAAACAGAAAAAACTCAAAGCGCTCTCTACGGAGCATCTCCATGTTCCTCTTACTAACCTACAAGTACATCATCTGTTCCGATGAACTGTCCTCCACAGTAGTAATAATAACTGCCATTAATAACCAATTGACTAGTTTGTTTTTCTCAGATGAAGACTGTAGCAGCTGTAGGTATTCTTTAGCTCACTGGGAGAGCTGCATTTCTCTTTATTGAAGACTATTGCCGTGCCGCTGGGCTCTTCACTAGTAGATGAGAATACATTCCAGCCTCCCATGCATCTCTTTGCAGGCTGTATGTGAGTTCTGAAATTGATTTTAAGATTTAGCAGCAGATGGTCAGGCTCCCAGCTATACTTTAGAAAAGTTCATCCCCCACAACAGCTTCTGAGCTCCTCAGGCAGCGCTCCTCCGGTGCTTCTCAAAACTCACCTTTTTATATTCTAGCTGCGGGCTCCTCAGCTCTGGGACTCCCAGCCTATGGAATGGCCAATCAGTATCATTTTTCATAAGTATTTGCTTTGAATTTCACTGCTCCATAATTAAAATCCATGGTAGAATTGACCACATTTCCTCATTGGTAGAAGGACAAAACCAATGCACTGGTATCATCACAGTATAAATGTAATCACAGTAAAGTGCTCTTTAAAGTATAATCAAGTCTATTCAATTCTAACAACAATGATCACGTCACTATTATCTCAAATTAACAACTGTTACAATAATATTTCTCGTGCACGTTCACAGCCGCTAAAAAACGGTGATGGGGTTGCAAAAGTGTGTCCTAAAACATTTAAACTGTGCGCATCAGTAAATAATAAAGAAAAACAAAAGACGAAAAACTCAAAGTAAAGGGCTTGGTTGGGTTTAGAGAAACATAGTAGTTTGGGTAAAACAAGGTATGTTTGTAACATAAAATCATCATTCGTATTACTTTCTGTAGGTCAATATAGTAGAGACAATATGTAACAATATAGTGGACCTTTACCTTGTTTAGCAAAGAGCCTGATTGTGTGCACGTCAACGTGTGTGTCTGACGTCTCATAATGATGCCGATGGACATCGCTGACCAGGCTTTGGTATTTGACCAGTTAGAAGTGATGGAGTGGACGGACTCAAACCCTCTGTGTGAATCTTTTACTTTGGACCAAATAATGAATATACAATAAAGTAAAATAAAAGGAAGCAGTAGTTTCCCATCCTTTCCAATACATCTGGACCCTCAAGCCCAAATCATTGTGGGTCATCATGATGTTCACGTTGTACCAATTTAAGTCTCAGCCTTCTTTTCTCCTGGCTGACTCAATGGGATTTCTTTTTCTGGGTGCAGAAATTTAGGAACCCCGAGGCGAAGCACAGAAAAACACTACTTGCCACCTAACAGAGATAAAAAAAAGTAGCATATACCCTCGGGTTGCAGAGTCAGAGGGTATTAGGCGGCCAAATTAGGCTGACAGCCGCGCTGCATTGAGTCCTCTGTGCGGTGTGTGTGACGCTGATAAATGCCTCTCCGTGGCCTCAACCCCCCCACTTCACAGTGGTATATCGGCTGGGGGCAACAGAGCTCTATAACTTCTGCACTCAGGTTCCAGGCCACATGAGCAGCAATGGATTAAAGCGTCTGGAGGAAATTAGACCTCGGAGAGTGCAGATATTTTCTTTTTCCGCATTGCTGCATCCGTAAACAATGACGCTCTTTTCCAGATGGGCGGACTGTGACTGTGACTGGTTGAGCGGCAGCAGAGCGCTTTGTTCACAGCTACTCCCCACCAGTGTGTCAGATGTTGTTAGATCACAGCTCGGCCTCCATTGTTCTTGGCAGTGTTGTTTTTCCAAAGCTCAGAGGTGACCAGAACTCCATAAGGAGGGTAACATGTCCCCTAAACCGGTCTCGTCCCTCCAGAAGCCAGTCTGGCTTCTGCATGAAGGGAAAACAACTACGGACTCAGCTTTATTGCATAAGCATCCATTCAAATGAAACAAAAAAACGCTGAGCTTTTTTTTTTTTAAAAGACCTAGTATATTTTTAGAACTACCTTTGCTGCAAATGTTTAATGGAACAACACAAATGAGTCATCACTCCAGTCGGTGGTTTAGAAACCACTGCATTCACATTGCCCATTGCTGCATTCGTATTGCTCGTTGCTGCATTCGCATTGCTCAAGAAGTCGAGTTCAATGTCAACGTGTCATTTCAAGTTGGTGTAGATGCTTCAATGGGTCCTTCCTTTCTGAAATGTGAGCATTTTGGGGAAAAGCCTGATTCTCAGATCCCTATTAACGTCCATTGAAACCTCGCAATAGATGCTGTTCCGGCCGGTTTGTTCTGCAACGCAGATACCGAGACGGCAGAGTAGGTGGGAAAAAGGTTCTTCATTGTGTTTGTCCGTTGATCCAGGAGAATGCAGGCGGAGGCGGTGGAAGTACCGCTGGCTGGGCGGCGATGTGATACGGATCCACTGAGGCAGAGGAAAATCACACGTTAGATTTAGCGGTACTAAGGCTGATTGTTTTAGGAGTTTTACACTCAAAAGGGGCCGAGATTATAGTTACCACTGAGCTGAAGAAACAATCTGCCGATGAGACAGCAGGAAGCCGGAGTATTTCAGCAGCCAGTGATGATGGTTCAATGATGGACAGGTGAGGAGAAACACACGCGGGCTGATTGCCACTGCACCAAAACCACACACACACACACACACACACACAGAGGGGAGCCGAGCTGTAGTGGAGCCGTGACGGATGCAGCATTACTGGACCATCTACTCTGGTGCGGGGGACCGTTTCTTCTCATGTTCATGTGCAGATCATAAAGGTAATGAGAGGTCCTTGCTTGTTGGAACGTTCCGCCTCCAACCAGAAAGAAATCTGATTGCCGCTGCAGCGTAGTTGTTTTCACGTGTGCATCTCAACAAATGCCCACAGAGGAAGACCTAAATGAGCTCACTGCAGTTTGACCACAGTGATGTGATTAAGCCCCTCACAAGACATACTGACTGAATGCCGACAAAATTCTAGAATATTTGTGGAATCTGTGCTTTTGTTCAAGAAAGTAAACGGTGACACTGAAACAGACGCATCAGTAACACTATTCCTTGGTGGATATTAAGTTCTAATCAGCTGTTGGTCACTCTGTCATTCTTGGCTGGATGGTTTGGAAATTGGCCACAGAAATTTCATAAAAAACAGACAACTGCTGTGGGGATTCTTTCAAACGGCGTTTCGGAGCGTTGGCTTAATCCGCCAGTCTAATATTCCCTCACTCCTAGTTGACCAGTCGAGTAACAAGGTAATCACATCCAGTTGTGTTTAACCAGTCGCTCGGCCAACAATCCAGCAAACGGGCCAAGCAAGTCGGTAAGCCGGTCAGAGAGACAGGCAGCGGCCAGCAGAAATAGATGGAACTGGCACAAAGCCACATTGAGCTCGCTTTGTAGGTGCCTCACTGGTCTGGATTTTATATCGCCATTTCACAGCGCCAAAAACATTTTGGCAAATCGCAGTGTGCTGTTAAGTACGGCAAAATGAGGAGTATTCAGTGCGGGTTTATTATGTCTCAGCATGCATAGATAGATGAGCCTGACAAGCCTTCTTCCAGTTCAGACCAATGTTCTCACTCATTGGTCCCTCTGTGGACCAGGCTGTAGGGGAAAGCACAGGCGTTAAGCGTAGTTCGAAACTCTGAGACATGGTGTAAAAGTCAGACATCTTTTTGACAGGATTTTTTCTCTGTTCATATTTCCTTGAGTTTCACTTCTTCAGCTGAATAACCACATCAGAACTCAGCTATAGCATAATCCAAAATGACTTCTAAAGTGACCTTGTCAAGCAAACTATGACAGGAAGTGGGTATAGATTATTTTTTGCCAGAGTATTGAATGAGTGAAATCATACAACCACTGTCAAGATGAGAGGGGGTTTCTTCATTACATTAAGTGACGTAACGACGTACAATTCAACTACTGTAAATGAATAACAACAAACCTTAGCTAGCTTGTTCACGTAACGTTAGCTTACATGCTTAAAACGTTAGATAAAAAGTGTAGGATATACACTCACGAACCACAGTTCCAAAATGAAGTTTCAGAGTAAAATGATCAACCATCAATTAAAGATTCATGGCTTCAATTTAGACTTTTAGAATGCTTTTTAACGCTGTGAACTGACCCGAACCCTACTTCCAAATTGTGTCACAAAATAAACTTGATGCGCAGCAATATGATTGACAGAAAATAGTTTTCTATTGTTTCCTAAGTCTTTGCTCCTTCTCACAAAAGCAGAGCACCGTGCTGTGTTTTATTTTTTTCAAACTCTCCATGTGTTTTATTGTTAGCACTTACCTGTTTTATTATGTAGCACTTTGGGATTTTCTTAAAATATAAAGTGCATTACAAATTAAATGTATTATTATTATTTCTGTCTGCACGAGAAGACAAAAACACCTGAAACACGCTAAAACAGTTGAAGGGTCCGACTGAGCATCTCACTGCATCTCATACTCATATTCAGTAGTACAGTACCGGTCAAGGGTTTGGACACATTATCTCATTCAGTTCCGTGTCAAAGTGTGTCCTAACTTATGACTGTGTTCCTTTTGACCGCATTTCTCGCTACAGCTATCTGCAGTAGTTCTTTGCCTGATAAAATCTCATCCGGATGCACTTTCCTTTATGCCTTGTGGTTTCTCAGACCACCAAACTGATAAATGACTTCAATAGAAATCCCTACAACAGCAAATCCATAATGTATAGATTACAATCAGCCTGCTGCTCTGTCCAAGTGTGGCTTCACCGCCAGATTCCAGAGGGACTGTAGCAGTGCTAAAAAATGCTTCAATGGATTTTCAATAACACATCCGAAGGGTGTGAGGACTACCGCCGAAGAAATGACCTGGCTCATTTGTACAGCGTGGGGTGACCCATCATTTTATGCCTAGAAGGATGTAATTATCACCCATCACAAGCTGAATATGTGGGAACTGCATCTTATTGTTTCTTAAGAAAGATGACATTATTTCTATTTCAGGATTGATCGTTTTGTATCCAGCTCAATGTAGCCTACAATGTTCAAAGCTGGCCGTCCAGCCTGAATGTCATAGTATCCTGAGGGAATGTCCCAATGAAGGGGGCCAGTTTGTTGGAACCAATAGAAATACATGGGGTTGTTTTTATCAATTCTTTATTAACACTTGTTGATAACAAAGTGGGGTCATCTAGTGGTTGGTTCTAATGGTTCACATTATCTAGTTTGGTACCAAATTAGAAGGGATTCATTCTTAGATTTAAGACCATGAAATCAAATATGTTTGGCTTGTTTCACTTGTTTTCTTTCGGCTAGTACTGTTTTATGTCATCGACATGAATTTCACCCACCAGTAAGAGCGTGTAGTGTAAAGACTAGTCTGCATTGCTGTCAGTGCACATCCACAGCCTGCTCTCCTAAAAATGTCATTTACATTTAAAAAAATACTGTACTGATAATTATGTACAACCGGAGTACACATGTGGACGTTTAAGAATATTTTGCATATGGAAAAAAACATCAATAAGGGGAAATATTTGCTTGTCAGCAATTTAGCAAACACATTTTGATGACATTGCATTTAGTCCTCTTAGGGTGCGTTGTGGTAGACCGGTTCATCAGAAAGGGCCCAGCGATCCACTCATTAAATGAAGCAGTGCATTCTACCTGACTTGTACTACGGCATTGTGCCACAAACAGCATCCAACATTTTGCCAGGATTGTCTTGGGGAAATTAAACAATACAAACAACCCTATTTGTTTTTTTCCTTAAGTTTTCCAGTTGATTGTTGTCTGCAGCCAAAACAGAAACTGAGATGAGCCAAAGCAGACGCACTGTGTTATGTTTTGCCAGATTTTGTAAAAGAAGTAGGCTAAGAAGTAGACTCACAGCACGGAGCTGCAGACTAAATCCAACCTCAATTCGACATTGAAGCCTGACGCCTTGAAAAGCTTGTGTGTACTTGTGAGTTCATTGGAATGATTGGATCCGTTCAGGCAGCGTACACACTCTCTTTCATAACTATAACTTACATGCACAAACTGTATTTGCTAAAATTCAGAGTTTTTGTGTAATGACAAGGTTTAGAAGTTGTACTCCAAGGTGCATTATCCAATCTGTCCAAAATGTATTGTGCGTGATCCTACTTCAGGCCTTAACTCATTTCCATGCCAAAATGTATAATATGTATCTACTGGCGAAGGGAAATGACATGTACACCACCTAGTCGGTAAACCATTTTGAATACAAATTCTGTATGTAAAGCCATAATGCTGCGTTCACACCAAAAGCAAAGCAAATTTTTTCTGCAAGTAGATGATGAAATCAATGCACAGACGCAAATGGTTGCGAACTACGGAAATGTGCAATTGGCGGTACGAATGACGCGAATGATGCAAAGTAAGAAATTCGCCTCATCCACTCTGAAATAGTAAAACTTTGGTGAAAAATTTGCCCAACACTGTCCTCGAAAAAGCCAATTCAAACTACGTCCAGCTGCAATCATAATGTGGGAGAAAATATGTTCAGTCCAAAATTGTCTGCAGCAATCTTAGGCCCGCCTCCAAATGCTCTCATTCGTTGAAACGCGTGATGACTCCCTTCCCAAGACAATGCTGACCAACAACCCCGCCTCCTCGCCCATGGGCTGCCTCTACGTGTGTTCAGAGGCAGAGAGCAACAGAGTTTCAAAATAATTATATATTATTATATGTATTGTAATTAAAAACCTGCATTAACATGCAATAAAATAATTGTCGGTGATGATTAATTAATGCGTCCTTTCCTAGCCCTAATGGGAACATCATTTAGTAGGAGCTTGCACACTTACACAAACAATCAATAATGCATTCATGACATTTTAATAGACTTGATAGACAAAATAAACTCCTATTTATGTCTATATTCCTTTCCTATACAAACATTTTAAGCTGATCCTGAAGTACGGCACTCATTAAGGGAAATAATTAATAAAATGCTATGCCACTGTGCAGCATAAGCTGTATTCTGTGTTAGATGATGCCATATTGCGTAATTTCACCAGCACCCCCCCAGCCCCGCCTCCACTCGACACATGTTCCTACCGTGGTGTGAAATGGTGCAAACTGTTCAGAATGGCAAAGGTGAGTTTGGCAAATGCCCCACACTGTCTTCATGGCCACCAGAAAAACCTGCTCAGTGTAAGACAAAAAAAGGTTTCCAGTTCTGTTAATGAAGTTGTAAATCCTCACCATTGCTAATGAGTCAATGAATGCAGCTGCCAATGGTGGATCCTTGCATGGTTTCCTGTGTGCTGTCGCTCTGCGTCTGTTTCTTTGTGGGAGGCTGATTAATTATTCTCTGTGTAAAGGATGTGATTGTTGCCCCTCTGTGGCACTCCTGTTCCCTAGACAACCCCCAATCAAAATTAGATGTAGCGAAGAGGAATAAAGGGTCAAACCTTCCATCTCCACTACCCCCTACGCTCCTCCCTTCATCCCCCAGCAGCCCAGGTACAAAGTGTCCCCCTTGGCGGTTCCCTTCTCAGAGCCATCGTTCTGACACGAGAATCCAGTCGATGGGATTTACTGAATATTTCATTTTCCATTTCTCTTATATCTCACCTCTCCTTCCTCTTAATCCTTTCTTTCTCCATTTCCGGTGCACATGGTCACGGACATAGTTTTCATCGGTTCACTTCGCTCTCATCAGTTGAGGTTCGATCTCCGTGTGATGCAGGCGGATCAGATAGGGGGCTGGGGAGGCTGTGTTCTAGTTTGAAGTTGTAAGTCATGTCAGAGCCTCAGTAAACAGTCAGAGCGACCTGCAGTGGTGATAGAAGGTTTAAACGCCTCGGCAACAGCAGCTGCCCATGGAAACCCTTTTCAACATTGTCCGTATCAGATGTAGAGATTTGACTAAGTGTCCATATATGGGCGCTTGGTGGTATACTGTGGTTTTATATGATTGCTAGACCTCTGGCTGAAAGCTGTATGCATCATTTCAGATCAGGAGAGACTCCTTCCGAATTGACAATACATGTATTGCACCTGTATAACATTGAAAATCTTTGGCGATTGGACTCCGGATAATCAAGGGCCCGTGATGCCGAGTTCCGCTCTGGCAGAATCCCCCCTGGAGTTCAGACACTGGTGGTGGTGAAGAAGGGAGCTGCTGAAAAGCGAGGATGACTGTGAAGTGGGCCTGATAGCTGGTTGGAGGTACCTGGGGTGGAGGGGTGGTCACATGCAGTTTCGAGCTGAAATGACACCTGACAGAAATGAAGGAGAGACAATATGGTTGGTTCATAGACACAGGGCCGCCGCATCTGGTTGGTTAGTTATCTATATATTTAGCTCAGGTAATGCTGACTGAGGTATATATATAGATTACCGGTGGTGTAAAGGGAGTCTACCACTTAAGCTCCATTTCATGCTGTTGACGGATATTCTCATGTCTCTCTTGAGAAATATAAGTAGGTTCAAAGATCTCTGACAGTTAACAAATCTCCTGCAGAGTTGCATCCATAAATCTATGCAGCGGTTTTCTCAGGCCATGTAACCTCCTTCGTTTCTTTTCTTCTCAGGAACAAGAACACCATCTACCTGTGGACTGGCTCTCCTCCTCCTGGCGTGTGCTTTGTTGAGGGATGCCTTGTTATAATCCAAGAACTGATCTCGTTCTCCTTCTGTTTGCTCTCAAAGTGAACAAGAAAACCGCCCTGGTCCTGTCCCCTACACCCCCCCCAACACACACACACACACACACACACACACACACACACTTGCGGGCGGCACAGTTGGCCATCATTTCCCTGCCACTGCTGCTCCCCCCCATCACATTGCTATTAGCCACGGTAAACACCAGTCACCACCTTTTGGACTGACGACCTGACACCATCTGAGGCGCAGGGCTCCGCTGGGGAAACGGACTCTGTGTCTTGTTGGATCACTCTCATGGAAGAATGACTTTTCTTATGGTTTCCCTGTTTCAGTTAAAAAAGTGTTGCTCAAAAGTGAACAAGAAAAAAAGGGAGGCTGTATTTGTTGTTATTCATTAAAACACCTAGAATTGCTGTATGTGCTGTACACATCGCCGAAACTCGCCATATAGACCATGGAACTCCATTGTGAATAAACGCCCTCAAAAAAACAAAAGAAATTAAAATTCACTTTTTAATTTAGATTGTTAACATTAACCATGTGGTTAGAAAAAGGCTTAAATTCACACTTTCCTTAAGCTACATTGGAAATGATTTAATGTGCATACCTTCACATCCTGTTAGTGCACAGGTGTGCATGCTTATTGCCTGACAGTTTAAATAACTCATTTGACCTGCACTCAATGTGCAAGTCTGTTGGATTTAGCTTCATTTTATTGTGCTAGCCTTGGTGTGCTAAATAAACCGACATCTCAATTTGTATCGCGCCCTCAGTAGGAATGAAAATGATCCCAATGTTCCAATTCATGCGTTTTTGGACAATACATTTGAATTAACCTGCACAATTTTCAAACGCAGTGCTTCCCTTCCTGTGCACCCCCCACACCCCCCCAGCCTCATCCCTACTGAGGATGAATGAGAGTTTACCCACTTTGGATCCGGGTACTGCTCTTTTCTATTGTTTTGTACGCCAGCACACAAACACACACATTTGTCTCATGCAGAGTGGGTTGAGATGCAGTGCAACACAAAGAGTCAACTTGTCATCAACAGTGTTTGTGAACCGTGTCCCAGAGAAATTAGTTGGCTTTGTGCTTTTCTTTTTTGCTTTTTTATCCACACAGAGCATTTATAAGCAAAACGCTTTGACAATCTGACACAAATGCTTTTGTTTATAGTGCAACAACAGATACAGTATAACCTGAAAGAAATACATTTTGTTAACTTTTGAGCTGAAAAGACAATTGTGCATCCTAAGAAACACAAATACTCCAATTCAAACGCAAATATCTATGAATAATAGAGTAGTTGATTTATGTCTGAAGAATCACACTGTAAGTGAATGTTATCCATTGTGTCATACTGCCGGAGTGCAGCAGTTGCCCTGCAATAAGATTATATTTTATTTTGGTAGACGTCGACCTCAAAGCACTATTTTTCTGCTCAGTTTATTCCCTAAAATTTATACCGAAATAAGGTGACATGAAGCATGATTATGTACTTTCATGCGGTGTATGTTAAAACTAACATTCATGCTTAACATAGCGATATAATTACTGTGTGCTGTGTGTTCTCAAAAAGCAACCTCACTCCAGCAACCCCCCCCATGCCCCCATACCCCCATCCCTGTATAGTTATAGTTGCACTGCATTCCCAAAGAACCGTTGGGGGAAAGCTGTAGATTCAGCACCGTTTTCAAACTGGCCATGCTTTGTCACGCTTTGGAGCAGCCCGGGAGTCGGGTGAAGGGACGACGGGAGGCCATCCCGTCCTTCGCTCTATTGGGTGAATCTGGACCGTTAATCCTGCCTCACTGTCACATAAGTATAAGCCAATCTGCTGTGGCTGGAAATCAATCTCTGTGTTTTGAAATGACATGTTATGTACAATGATTCTGAATGTTTACTTTGCAGAAAAAGAAATGATACGCTTTATTTTAAGGTAGAACTGGTTTTGGATGTTGGTTCTATTGGAAATGTGCCCAAGCACTTTGGAGAGAGTGTGCACTGTCTGAGTGGACAGTTTGTTCAACGCTCATGTAAAAAATTAGAGATCTGTACAACTTGTAGATGAAATAATGAGCATGTTAACGTTTGTTTTTTTAACATCCATTTGAAAAGGCAGACGCCAGTGATGTTCTGTACTGTAACAATGGTGTCATGTACTCATAATCAAGTGTTAACAAGTCCAAAGTGGGTTTCCATGACAAAAAAAAAAGAAATTCTCTATATTGTTCTGAATATTAGAAGCATCTCCTCCGTAAGGCTTTCATTCTGGGGACTGGCTTCACTGCACGTCCTCGCAACATATTGAATAACAAGGAGGGAGGAATTGGAGTGGTGATTGTTTAGGTATAATGATTGGAGTGATCAATAAACGTAGTTGTTCTGATACCATTTTTCTTTCCAATCCTTCAACTTGCAGTCCAATAACAGTGCTTATCAAAATGATTAGTATAAAGTATTATTATTAAATAACAGTACACTGGAAACCCCTGTTTGGGTTGGAGGGGATAATTGTTGTATAGTCTTGGTCAGGTTACTTAAACTCTTTATAAATGATCAACAAATACACGCAGAGAATGAAGGCCAAAGATAATATCTTTTGTCATCTAGTGACGTGATGACGAGTGTTCCCCAAACTGGGTGGAAGAAGAAGCAGAAAGTCTCCTTTATTGATCCCCTTGGGGGAATGATTCTCTGCACATAAGCCTTCCTACGCAGCGGGAGCAGGTAGGGGTTGGGTGTCCTGCTCCCGGACCCTTTGAAAGGGGACAGCCGGGGTTTGAACCCCAAACCCTAAGGTTTCCGGGGCCCCCTTTTTTTTTTTCACGCCCGGGAGCCCCCCCCCCCCCCCCCAAAAAAAATGACTGTAGTCGGCCAAGACACAGAGCTCAGTGTGTTGTGTGTCGTGAAATACTGCCGGCAGGTGATCTGAATCAATGTTCTATGTTTCCGTGTCCTCCTGGGGGCTCGAGCTCCCGCCGACCGGTAGGCATCGGAAGGAGATTACATGTATACGGCTTTTTACCTGATTTGGACACCAACACCATCCAATTGAACCTTGGAATCTTCACTCAAAGCCTCTGTATTGTTTCTTGTCACACCCACCGTGGTTGTCCACGGGGCCGAAGTGCTGAATAGTGCTGTGACCTTGGCACTTCCCACTGGGAACCAGCTGCCTGCCCTGTGTGTACTGTGAACCAAAGGTAACCGGTAAATACCACAAAATATGATATAGGATTGGTACATAGAGCAGCGTACTCGCTCAAACCAGAGTCAGCATTTCAGGCTGTACAACATCTGGTACTGGTATCGGAACAACTGTGAAGAACTGAGTGATGAGTCTGGGTTGCTACGGGGCTGAATTGCTTTAAAAGGAAAAAGCGCCACATAAGAGAACAGTTCCTTCATCCAGAAGCGCCGCTGAAAAGAGCCATTGTTCCGTTGTGTTTTATATGCCCGCTACTCATCCACTCTAGATGTATTTGTTTCTTCTAATGTATTTCATTTCAATGCCGTCCTGTTTGTTGAGCTGTCAAAATAATTCTGAAGAATTCTAGTTCTCTTTTCTTTGGTGTTGTGTGAGGCTTCTGTGCTGGAACATTGCAACAGTTTGTATTATAATGACAATATCAGAATAATATTTAAATAAACCATTTTCACAGAGGAAATCCCCCCACAGAGACGTCCTGTCTGTTTGCTCGGGAACAAACCGAGCTTCATACTGAGTGAACGGGTCAGACTGCTGACGACAATAGTCCCGCTAACTGTCACTTACATTCAGTCCGCTCTCATTCACGCAGCTACCCGACAGAAAGAAATAGTAATATGAAAGAAGAAAGTAATTACCTGAAAGCACATATGTGTTTTATGTTCTGTGGAAAGCTTCTGTTTGGCAGAATGACTTCAACCTTGCGTGAAAACTCACCCGTGGCTGGAATACGATATAGAACATTTGCAAACCCTTAACATCCAGCTTTGATGCATTACTGTAAGGGATAACATTGTAATACTTTCAATTGTTAGTACTAGTAAAGCCTGACTGAATGGGGCCCTATAGACATTCATGAAGTACAACTTATATGTAATAATAATCACCTTCTGTACACATGATTAGTGCTACAGAATTACAACTGAGCACATAGTGAATTATAATAGCAATGCTTTTCTTGAGTCATGATAACTAATAATATTCACCAGACTTGTGAAAGTGTCCAAGTTACTGATTAGGGAGTTTTTTCTGTGCCGATGTGATGGTTTCTCTGTGTGTACAGACTGTAAAGCCCTCTGAGGCTAATTGGTGATTGGGTTACACAAAATAAAAAAATGAATTGAATTAAAAACTAGAATTATAATACGTGGGTGCTCAATGGACCTCCGTGACCTCTTTTCAAACATAATAACTCATACTCAAAGTCGTCATAATGACTTCACAACAACAAACAATTTTATTTCATATCTTTACATTTAGCGGTGAATTACATTACATTATGATGGTTTCTACCTTGACTGCAACGATACACCTTTTTTCATTTAAAAAAAACTGTTTAATAATCCAGTGCAACATTTGCTGATAAATAAAGAATGTATGTTGAGTATACCTTTTTCTGACCAAAAATAAAAGATTAAATGTAGAAAAATAGTTGTGAAGTACTCAGGACCAAATAACCTGTATAACTTCTAGTACACAAACCAATCTAGCATTTTGCAGGTGATATTGAAAATCAATGTTACTGCAGGTCTTAGATTTTGGAAGTCAGCCTTCATCACTGGAAACCTTGGAAACAGGAAACTAGCTCTCTTGGTGAAAGTGGTCCTGTCAAATCTCATCACCCATTCATCTGTTTAAAAGACAAGATAGGGGAATGGAGAGGGGGAGGAAAAAAGATGCTCTTTGGAATGACGAGTAGAATTGGCAGCGGCGGCTCAGCTAATCAGGTTTACTTATCAGTGAATTCAGAATGCAAAGCAGGCAAAGAAATAGACGAGGAATAATGCAAAATGAAACGTCTGTGTTTGTAAATTCTGCAGCCAGTGACGTATTTATCCGCGTGGAGGAAATAGCAACCCAGCAACCTGCCTCTGGCTCTCTAGTCAGCCGCTGGTCCTGTTGCTGAACAACAAAATGAATGAACGACTTAGTGTGTTTAAATTGTCCATATCCAAATGTGTTGGGACAATCACAGATGGGAGACATTGTCTTCGGTCTTTTTGTATGTCTCAATCGCAGATTAAAATAACACAGGGAGCGTGAGGTTTATATTTTCAGATCAAACGAAGTATTATTAAATATGCATGCATACATTGCAGAGACGGAATCCATGCTGAGCGCGAGACACGCTGTGATTCTAGCTATAATATAAAGTCCCCCGCTGATAGCGCCTCATGGTGAAGGCAATGTGTTCTCAACTGCTTCCCACACCTCGAGGATCACATGGTACATCAGAAAGAGTGAAGATCTCCCCATGACAACACAGTGGAGACACGGCGGCCTAAGGGTTGGAGAAGTGGAGTTCACTTGAAGTTACTTGGCAAGAAGAAGAGGAAGCGTGCCTGAAAGTCGAAAGCCTCCCAACCGTGTACAGCTTTGTTGTGCCCTTCGGATTTAATAACAAGCACTCAAGTTGGTTTGAATGAAGATTTTGAGTTGCTTTTAAGTACACTTCATGTCCTTCCTCAAAGGGTAGATTGGCTCGATTACTATGGAGATGGTATGAAGAAATCATTATATGAAAATATTTAGACGGTGCCATGCAAAACTGTTGCAAACATTATTCATAGAGTCATTATTCATAGAGCCATTATTCATGGAGCCACCGTTTTCATTAATAACCCAAACAGGGTCCCTTTTGTGTCAAAGGCATACAATTTGTTATCCCATCGATTGACCTAGACTTAACCTTCTGCAGATTTACTTCTACATGCCCAACAGTCATCACTCATTTCACCACAGAATGTCCTGATTAGGAAGTACAACAATCACGCAATGCTGTAGAATTTGGTGGTGAGGACAGTTCAAAAATCAGTAAAGTTGTCCTTGAAAATCTTCACCGACGAACAAGTCAGGAACTTAACCATTAAACAGACGTTATAAAGAATAATTTCAAAGGGAACACTTTCAAATAATCAGAAAGGTGTGGGTGACTAATTCCCATTGAATACACATATGGCCACATAATTATGAATGAACTACAACCGTTCAGCACCTATGGACGAGGTTGGGGTTATAAAGCAATTGTTGGAGAAATGGGTCTCAGCATGAAAGCATCAGCAGTGTTTTCAGATACAAACAGAGTCTTTGAGCACTTACACCAACATTGTTCACGAGTCATCTGATGTACGAGTCACTGGACATTACAAATGAAGAACATACATACATGTTGGCATTAGTTGGTCCAATGGGAATTCATGGACAATCAGTACAGATACGGATCTTCCCCCCAGGAGACCACTTCTGTGTTCAACCAAAAGTCAATCTTACATTTAATTCATGTAACGTACTCAATTTAAACCACACAGCATATGTACCTGAAATGGCGCAACAGAGATACTTATTCAACCCGAACCAGGATCTTTGACCCAAAACGAACCACTTTTTTTTGCCACAACCCGAGTGATGACAAGGGGCAGCCAATGACCTGTCTAAGTACTTTCTTTTATGATTGAATGGGTTGATGAAGGTCACAGATCTTACTATAGCAGTAGCAAGAAAAGGTCCTACTCTGGCTAATTTGGATTTCCCGGAAATGAATACAAATCTCCTTTCCGCGTTGATAATTGCTGACCGGTACCTCTGACTTAACAGGATAAAAGGTCCTCTGACGCCGTCTTATTACTGTGATTGGGATCTGGTGGCTTGCAAAGCGCTAACAAGCAATTCTGCTCAAAGACATTTTAACAAAGGAAAAGCAATTGAAGGGCATTCAACTTTACTAAAGTTTCTGTTGCTATTCACTGTGTGTGTGTGTGTGTGTGTGTGTGTGTGTGTGTGTGTGTGTGTGTGTGTGTGTGTTTGTGTGTGTGTGTGTGTGTGTGTGTTTGTGTGTGTTTGAGTGTGAGAACAGTCCTGCATTATTTATTTGCACTCATTAAAAGTAATCAATTGAAGCTGGCATTGATGTAAGGGTCTTTATTGGGCTTTCAGGAATCCGTCACTGTAATGTACCTTATGACTTTCTAACCCTACCTGATTGTTTTGTTCCACCAAATCCCCAGAGGAATGAAAATGTGTTTGTGCAGAGCCACCGGTGCTAAGCATCTCTCACTGCTGTAGGATTTACAAACTCAAAAGGCTTTGGGAGAAAGTCGTATTGGCATGTCAGCTGAAACAATATTGCGGCGGGGTTAAGGATGTCTCTCAATGACTTATTACGCCCAAGAAAAGCCCATGT